CACGAAGATGAGCTGTCATCCTTTAATGTTAGCTTTTAAGAATGATAGTATAAATGAGGAAAAACATAATTCACAGGCACAGGTAGAACTAATAGGGAAATTTGATTTCGCACGCATTTTTCAACGCACTAAATGTATAATATATACTATTTGAAACATGTAATAAATGTTAAAAGATGAAACGCTTTTACAGTGATTTGACGCATAAAACACTAATATCTATAAAGTTTTGCATTCTGATGAGGAAACGGAAAGAAGAAATTTTAGTAAAGATGAAATTATAAATAACTGAGTACTTCAAATAATAATAACACTACAAATTAAATTTAAATTTTGCTTCAAAGGTAATAAAAATATATTAATAATTTTACCTGTTTTTTGTTATAATACTTCTCCTTATTAAAAATGATTTGTATTTTTACTTTACTTCTCTTGCGAATTCAGTATTTTATGTTGTAAGAAACATTGTGATATCGATACAGATAAACATTTTTATTTTTGAAAGCTTCCGGCACATGTTAAATTTCTGGCGTTTTCATCTTAAAATGCATATTTCGAAGATGAGTTCAATTTGCTTCGCATTTAATGGTTATAAACTTACAATTTAATTTTGCTGTATTTTAATAAGTAATTGCAGTTATCATTAAAGTGACCGTAGTCAAGCAGCATGGTAATGAACTGTGTTCTTACGGTGAGACTAACCATGGATTATCGATTGCCATATGAACATTCTAGGCAATTATAGGCCGGAACGGAGAATGTGATAACACGAGTCTCAGACATTTAAATCTAAGTACAGGCGAATTATAGACCCTATATATTAGTTCGGATGTCATTCTAGTGAGTACTAGTTTTGGGGGGAGAGCAGAAAGCTTGGAAATTCAACTGTGCGCTCACGGGATTCTAACCATGGATCTTTCAGTTATTAACTGAAAGTTAGATTCAGTTATTAACTAATTCAGTTATTCCATTTATTAACTAATCACTTACAACACGAAATACGCTGTCTCGAAAGCGCGAGTTAGGGTATATATTAGATTCATATCTAATATATATATAATATAGATTCATATCATCGTTATAACATAGGTATTTTGACACAAAATCGTACTTTTTCTGAAATGATTTTTTTTTCCATATTTCGATTTTACGACTCAAATCATGCCAAACTGACAAGTTTTGTAGAAATTGCGCAAGTAGTTTTTAAAAATTTAGCTCTCAAATTAGCCCTGGTTTGTACGAAATAGCATCATTCATGCAGACATGAAAATAAAACCCATTCCTGAACAAATCCTCATGGAGGTGCACAACTTCTTCGAAAAAATGGATAATTCTCTAGTGCACACGCTAAGAGAACTCGGTAATTATGACCCTACGGTGGACAGCGTGGTGAAGATACCTCCGTCAATTCACCATAATGCGCGGTGGTGATGTAAATATGTAAAATAGTGTACATATGAAGTTGTGTTTTGTGCTCTATCTAACCTTATTTAACCAGTACTGTGTTACTGCCAAAAATGGCTATTTGCCTGGAGCAGGCTAGAGACTCTGAATTAATTAATATGTGTTAAGGACTGTGTATTGTGTGATCTCACCACGCCCACTGCTGTGGTTCTACTCCTGATTCGCTGCCGGACTGCGCACCCTATCTCAGTAACCTTACGCCACTATCCTGACCGAATGCATCCTGCATGGACTTGAATACTGGATGATTTTGTTTTCCAAGTACTAATTTCCCAATTTTTGTATATTCAGCTTGACTTCGCCACGGAATGATTGCACTTTGTTCTAATGTCACGCCCCCGGGCGAGGTGCAGTAGTACCTTAATGTACTAAGAACCGTGAATGGCCTTCATAGGCTGCACAGATTGAACAGGTCAAAACTCAAAGTAGTTGTATATCTGAGGTGAATCAGACCTAAATAAATAAATAAGTTCGTTGTAGTTACTTAGTTTGCTGTGGTTTAGAAAACTGCTCTTGTTGACTGTACGATTCGCGGGATTACTTTCTTTACGATTTGAATTAGTTCTCTGAACGTTTGAGTAGTTAAAAGATAAACTACTGTGAAAAATATTGTAAATATTGCACAATATGTGAAAAAATTGAAGTATTGTGTTTTATTTATTTAGGATAATAATAAATCTTATTCATTTTTCATCGGACTTGTGCATTCAATTCCAAACGAACCCGTACGCACGCAACAATATAAACATACATAAACGTTTGGTTATTCTATATAGTTGTGAACTCTAATCGTTAAAAAAGATGGAGAACATATCTACGAAGATACAAACATGCAATGTGTTTTAGATTCTCGGCTTAAGCAAGATGGTGAAAATACATGACAATTTTAGTAGAGCTGCTACTTTGGTAGACGGTTGCACGGATTTTCGGCGATTTACGTTGGCGCGATTTTTACAATCGTCAGCCATCTTGAAAAACGCTGTTTTTATGCATAGTAAAGATTAAACTTAAATAAAATAAATATCGTTAAAGTATGGATTAATTTTTTGTTGAAAATGTCGTTTTTAAGATGCAGACAATGTAAATAAATACATTTACTATGGTATAAATACTAAAGTAAGGCTTATTACTTTCATATAGAAAAAAGAGAATAAAACACCGCTATAAAAACATTGTGCCACACTTAATTAGATTAAAATATTACTGAAATTGAATATCGAATTAAAAACCTCTTACCAACATTTAAAAGAATTAGAATATTATTAAATTCAAATACTTTAAATACGTTCTATAAAATTAATAACATTAAAACATATGAGACATAATATTCAGCATTTTTGAAAATTGTGTATAATTTTAACAAAATGAAGTGTAAAATTGTAAAATAAGAAAATATGTACTACATTTTTGAGTAATTTAACATTTTTATTGATAAGTCCACAAAAAAATCGAAATCATAATGATCGGCTCTTTAACATCTTCATTGATATCACTATCTGCCTTCATGAAGAAGCATTAGCGAGGTTTCCTCCAAAATTTTAAAATTTCTCTGACGCTATAACAATTTATAATAAATCTTTGATAGAAGACAGGTGCCAAAATAAGGTTTAAAGGGCAATTTTTTTTATTCCAAACATATTCTGGTAATTAACAAACAACATTCATCTAGACGAGAGATCCATTCATTTGAAATATGAGAATCGAAGAGATGAATTAAAAATTTAAATGACGCGTATGCAAATATTCAGTAACAATCAGGAGCTGATTACTCACGCAACTTAATTATTTAAATATCATTCATAATAAAATGAGTTGTAAAATGCAAAATTAATTGTATTGAAAGGTAACAGCCAAATAGTTTAAATCCTAATTAAATTATGATATTAATAAAACCAATTCTTTAATAAGGGACGTCATAATACATCATCCCAATATAATTATATAAAATATTTAAACAACAAATTTTATTTGAAATAAAAAATAAATGAATTGATTTTTAATATTAGAAGCCATAAATATATTTAAAAACGGAGTTATGCAAATAAAACCATTATTTTTTTAATAATGACAACAAGTATTGTTACCATAAATAATTATCCAGCAATAGGTTTACCATATTTTATTATCGCCAAAGAAAATAGCCAAAAAATCGCCAAAATCGGTGCACCGTCTACCAAAGTAGCACCTTATAGAATGCAATTGATCATTTAAATTATTTCTATCAATATCATGTGTTGAAAATAACAAATAATATTATATATAATATTAAAATTTTCTGTTTAGTACTGGTATTAAATTACATTCTTATTTTTTTTAAAATATGTTTCACATAATTCATTATTTTTATTTATTTAAAGATTTTAAATATACGTTGTTATTAATTCTTCAGAGTAACCAATACTTATTATTTTAATGTGCAAATCGTTTATAATTTTATTTTCAGATTTTATTTAAAACTGAATTTTAGCTTCATGTATAATAAGTAAAGCTATATTATAAACAATTATAGCACTTTATCGTATGTGATTTGGTTGTGTAAGTGGATAGCACATCTAGCTAATGACTAGAAGATCCATGATTCAGATCTCGCCAAGGAAAAAAAAAAAAGTTTATTTTTCATATTTCCTGCTTCGATTAATCTAACTGGCTCTAGAAAATAATGAATAATTTTTTACTGTCACCATTTCCTGACTACTTTCCAAACAAGAAAATTATGAAAAAATCTTCATTCATTCTAAAACAGTAAATATGCTTACTGTTGGAAAACTAGTTTGCTCTTAGGGAAACCTAGAGATGCATATTAAAACTGATGTATAGGAATAAATCCTGCAGAAGACAATTCAAATTTGATATTTGAAGTTTTGATTTTTAAAGTATTCCGGCCTTCGATTTAAGTTATAGATTTCTTATAAGGCAAGAATAATAAATTCAATTCCGCCTGAGCTTTAAACCAGAAGTGAATATGAAATTTTCCCTTCCCATTTCCAGACGCAAATACCAAACGAGATCGGAATTCAAAACAGAAGACTTTTGAATATATTTCTTTTAAAATCTTTTGATCTAACCGCAAGACTCTGAAATTCAAGGTTCTTTTACATACGCATTACGATAAACGCACTGCTTCCTTTAAAAAAATTCTAGTGTTAGGAACTTCTTCGAATATAAAATATTTTCAAATTTCAATTCCTTTCTTTTAGTCTAAAGCTGTAATCTTTGCCTCTATAGAGGAATGTAATAATATTGGAAATCAACTATAAAGTATTTTCTCCCTCCTTTCCTCATGCCTTCATGGTGTAATTGGAAACATACTCGGACCAGTGTTCGAGAGGTCCAGGTTTCGAGTCTCGATGAGCGCAGTGCACATTTTTCATGTCTTATGCTTGAAAATAACCTAAAGAGTCTACAAATGGCGCCCGAATTAAAAGGAGGTGGATGATAAATCGTCAGCACCAGAATTTGGTGTCTGGGTCCCCTTACCCCCAGTCGCCCTTTTAAAAGGGAGTATGTGTAAGGTATTTTATCCTGCCTTTCCGCATGTCTTCGTAGTGTAATTGGAAACATGCTCGACGTGCATTCTAGAGGTCCAGGGTTCGAGTCCCTGCGAGGGCACTGCGCAATTTTTACGTCCCATGGTTCAAAATAACCTAATGTCTCTACACAACTAAATATACTTTTTCGTATTTTGTCCATATATGCTTGTGTTTGTTTCTCTTATTGCAAATTTATAATTTTTTCTTCGGGAATGATTTTCGGATATATTTAGTATACATTTATGCTCAGAATGATTTCAATACATTACAGTTTTTCAAATTTTGGATGCACAACTACTGACAGTTTGTAAATAACTTTGGTAAACAAAGAAACTGCCTTCTGGAGTCCTTGGAATGCTACCAGAAGTCCTTGGGAATTCCCCTGCAGCGTGTCCGTCTGAGAAGACTGTGGAGCAAATCAAAGTTCTTGTTATTTAGTGAAAGGACTGGACGTTTGACTAAGACTTCTGAAGACAGACGCCAACTGATAGGAATTTCTCAATATTGTTGCTCTCAGGTATCTTATATTTTTAGATTTAAATTTAGGAAATTATTTCTTGTTTATTGACAGAAATTTGTGGTACTTTGAGTAATATCGAAGTTATTTGGTTATGATTCCTGTATCCGTATTGAACAGAATCGTTTTTAAGCTATAACAGAGTTCAAGCTTTCTTTATTTTCAACCTGCTCATTCAGAAGATTCAACAGAGTACTTATCAGCTAGTCGTAAGATAGAGTATACCTAGTATGCTCTGTATTAACATACACTTGAAGAGCCAAAACATTATGACCTTCTACTCAGTAACGTGTTACTCGACCTTTGGCCTACAAAACAGTTGCAAGTCGCCTTTGCATGGATGCCACGAGTTCTTGTTAGATGACTGGAGACAGGTTGTATCAAATGCCTAAGCAGCGGTCACACAAAGTCGAGATATTCCGACATGGTGGTGTTTGAGCTCCGACCTGCCGCTCCATGACATCCTAAATGTGCTCTATCCACCGAAACATGCTCCCCGAACAGCTCCAACACAATTCAAGTCTTGTGACAAGAGGAATTTTTCTGATGGACGATTTCATTTCCAATTGGGAAGACAAACGTCATGTAAGGATGCAGCTGATCCTCAATTATATTCATATAGTCCGCAGCTTTCATGGTCTCTTTTACCACAACTAAGAGTCTCAAAGAGGCTCATAAGAAACGTTCCTCAAAGCATAATACCTCCATTACCAGCCTCTTTATGACCTGCTGTACAAAGGGAGAGCAACTGTTCGCTTGGAAGATGGCGTACTCTTATCGACCATTGACGTGATGAATGAAAAATCGTGATTCATCTCACCAGACTGATTTAGTCTTCCACTTATTTATGGTTCAGTCTCAATGTTCCCAGGCCCACTGTAGACGTAGATGGCAATGATGCTTAGTGTGACGTCGGCAGCGCAGTCCCGTGTGCAAAAGTGTCTGCTGAACTTTGTGTTTCGAAACAATTGCATTTGCATCTGCACTGAATTGGGCTGTCAGCTGAGGTACAATTTGGCACCGATTTTTCTGTACCAAGCGGGACAGTCTTCAACGTCCTTTTTCTTTGATAAACAGTAGATGTCCAACACCTTGGCGTCTACTACTGATTTCACCGTCATTTATCCACTTTACGTGAATACTAACAACAGCAGATCGCGAACAATCTACCAGTTGTGCAGTTTCGGAATTATAGTTCTACGTTTAACAGGATCAGTCTCATATTTTTTTACACATATAGAAAATTATAAAACTTCTGTCCAAATATGCTCTTCTTACAGAGAAATTTATTTGGAGATAAGTTTAATGTGTTCAAGTGTTCCTACGTGAAACATTGATGCAATTGCCGTCGAAAGTAAATTATTTCCAGATGTAAATATAGTCTCAATTGCTACAGAAAAATGACTTGAGTTGGTAGTTTTATCTTAAATTCAATCTTACGCGGCTTTTATCTCCGCAGTGAGTATGTGAATTGCTATTTAATTATAGATATTATCCGTGAAGTTTTAATTTATTTAATTCGAATGGTTTAGATTCTTGGTATGCCTTTTTACACCCAGTCAAACATAACTATGAATAAATTTCGATTTCACACCACATTACGTAATTCTTAGAACACGGATCATTGATATTAACCTTTTCTTTCCGTTCCCCTATTCCAAATAATTACCAGTTATTATTTAATCAAGTTATTAAGAACCGATATTGGCATTCTATTGATGTAACTCATCCTATTACATTGCCACTTTTATGCAGGATTTTTTGCTACAGTTAAACTTTAGACAGCGGGCCAAAATTATTTGCACATGAATCAGTAACTAAGATTTTAATTTTATCTTTAAGTTCATAAAATGTAAAAAGCGATAGGCTTAATTATCTCAATATTCCCCAGAAACAGACTGAGATATCGTTTGCAGAATTAATCTTTGCGTGGTGAATTAAAATATCAAAAAATCATGTAGAACTATATAAATCGTTTTTGGAAACGAATAATTACACAAATCATAAATCCAGAGCATACAGAATTTACGGATTCTCTTCGAAATGACTACTTTTGTTTATACTACAGAGATACAGTTATAGCTGCCACTCCATTTATATTCTCTTGCTGTTGGTCGTAACAGTATAACAGCAAAAGGGACAATCCTTTTCATAAGCTGTAGACCAATTAATCTTAGTGTAAATTAGAATAAACTAAGAACCAAGCAATTTCAGCTTAAACCAAGAGTTTTGTGTGATACTAGAGGTGATTTTGGGTCTGGTTCGAGATGGAACCACCATCGATCTCTGTTTTCAGTGTCCAGAGCTTTAATCCCTGTGTTGCTGGACTTAATGTGACATTTGTAGTGCTTAAATTAACATAGATCAAAATATACGATTCTTATAATAGTAATTAATCATCATATGAATATAGAGTAATGCTCATTGTAATGAGATCGCTAATGTCCCAAGTGTATTATTTGCTGAAAAATATCCAATTTTGCTTGAAGTCTGGTTGCTTCAGTTTCATTTCGTAGGAGGCCTGATGACTTGTATTTTCTCAACACCCCACGTAAGATGTGAAGTTTTACAATCTGATGTCTAATGAGAGTGATTTACAGCGCAGAAGGACAGAAATAGAAACCTAGGTAATTAATATGTGGAAACAGGTATTTAATTTATGCTGACAAATCAGTGAAGAACAATTTACTCTACTACTGTTTTGCCTGTATAAGAAGGATAATTTTGTAAAGAATTCATTAAGAAAAATTAGCTCATATTTAAGCCAAATTAGTAAATAATTACAGATGACGTATGGCTTCCATAAACGGAATAACTGGCAATGCCTCTCGTTCAACGTTTGACTCCATGAATGTGATAAACCATATTTATATATCAAGAATGAGAGTGGTAAAAGTTAAAATGGGCACACAGTACACGTAAGCGTAATTCTTTTTTATATATGTATAGATTTAATAAGAAATTATTTTGAGGTTTTTGCATTATAATGCATAGAATTTCTTCTTTTTAGTAAATCTGCATGCAATATTTGTAGAATTATCAACAATTTAAAAGCTCTTTAAGTGCTGCTAAGCCTAAGTATTTTTATCATGGAGGCCATGTTTGTTTACATTTGAAACTTACCAGAATAGTGGATTTGCTGCCAATCTAGAGAAACTAAGCTTCGCAACAACAAAGATAACGCCTTCATTTATTATTGCGAATTAAATAATGAGTACTCCATTTTGGAATTGCTTCGGGGAAATAAGTGTTTAAAATTGATTTTGTAATTTTTAATATAGATATTTTGAGCTTTTTAAAGTAATTTTGCCTTGTCGCGAAGGGGGAATAGAATTAATTAAATGAGAAATACTGTCAAAATGAATCGTCTGTCAAAAACTGTTTCATTTTTTATTGTTTGTTTAATTTCTTTTATACATCGTTTTAAATTCGTTATAGTATTTGAATAGAACATGTGGCAACAATTAGATAATTCTTCAGATGATATAAATTTTGTGCATTCTGAATTATAAAATGAATGAAATGTACCACTGTTAACTGAACTTAGCGCCAGAATGTCGCTATGGTAAACAAATGTATTGAATTTTAAAGAATGCATTTATTCTATTGTGGTTTATGCGCTATCGACGAAGTAGATTTAATTCAATCCAATAAGTGTAAATGAAATGCAAGAAAAATGCGTGTAATTTAATATTCCGTACTAGGAAGTCATGTGGTGTACACATCATATTTTTTTTTTTCAAGATATTTGAACGCTGGAAATATGGTAGCTTCTTAAAGTAATTTTTTTAATTTCACCTCTAAAATCCTCAGATTACTTTAAGACTAATTTATGCTATAGCTTACATAAATATTTTAACTTCTTTTTAATAAAAATTGTGATCAATGTTCCATTTTTTGTATATGCAAATGAAGTTTTCTCTTAAAACATACAGTCCATTCTTTGCGGAATTCAATTTAATCGTACAAATATTTGTCGCCATTAATAATATTAAGTGCTTATTGCATAGCAAAGAGTAATAGAAAAAAAAAAGTAAAGAAATAATTTATAATTCTCGTTTCTCTGAACGATAGCACAGTTTCTTTGTTCCGATTTGCATAAAGAACAGAAGCATTAACTGGGCACGTATTTGAAACATAACTAAATTTAAATTAAAATGCATTCGCAAACTTGTGTCAAAATCAGAATGAAGACCTTTCCTTGAAATTTGAAACTTATCAATTAATAGCTGCGGTGGTAAATAGAAATATATAAAAATTACGCTTTGAACGTTATTTTAATACACTAGGGAGCATCAAATTTGCAGCACATAAGAAGCAAGGAAATTTAAAATTCTTAATTTCTGGAACCTTCAGAATCAGAAGTAAAAAATAATCGGGAGAACAACTTGTAAAGTAAGTAACATTTTAGAATTATAATTAATAGTTTTCAGTCTAGTAATTATAAAGTTACAACATGAAAGGTTTGAAAATTTTTAAAGTTTTAAAAGTGTTTTATGAATTTATTTATTATATGAATTCATAACGTGGTAAATTAAGTAGCTAGCAATTAGAAAGCACAA